GGCTTCTTCCTTGGAGCAGCGGGTGGATTTGAACCACCAACTGTGCCGTTCATAGCCCAATGCTGAGCCCTTGGTACCACCCATGACCCTTATGACCCATATAACTCTGGTCGGTGTATTTTTTCCTACTAGGAAGATCACCTGGGAAGTCACGGGTATGGCAAAAGGCCAGGTGATCAAGAGGCAATTCGACAAGAGCGTGAGTTAGATGGCGCAGGTGTTAGATGCCACCCTAGCTCACCTCCGTCTCTGCGACGACGGAGAATGGTAAGGTCTGGCCAAGGGTGTCTCAGACAGTGCCTGCTGGGCCTCTGTCCAGGTTTGCTTCAGTGACTCGCTTCTTGGAATGCCCTTCCCTTACCACCCCACCCCCACCCCAAGTTATGCCCGGCGTACGGATTCTTTACTGAGATCTATTATGTTACTCCCTTAAGTCACCATGCGGAAGTGGCGGTGGCTGGGTGTTAACAATCCCACCTTCCCTGTGGAGAGCTGGGTTCCGTTTCCAGCCAATGTACCCCAATGCCCAATCATCAGCCATCTGTCAGTGGGGGCTTGTGTGTTGTTCTGACACTGCACAGGTTTCAGCGGGACTTCCAGACGAGGACACACAGGGAAGAAAGACAGGTGATTTACTCCCCCCCCTCCCCCCAAATCAGTCCATGTCAACCCTTGGATAACGGTCCCGTCCCGTTGCACGTGAGTCATCAGGTGATGGGGACAATGAACAAGGTGGTCCAGCACAGACATGTTGCTTTGTCACAGCTCCAGATAGCGCCCCTTTGTAGCTATGTCTCCAAGGCCAACAGCCTCCCTATTTCTGTTTTTTAGGAACTACTTCACTTTTGCTCTCTGTTTTGACTACAAAACCACACCCTTCCTTTCTAATCATCGTTGTTACTAGGTACCACTGAGTGGGTTCCGGTTCAGAGCCAACCCGTGGACCACAAAACAAAATACCACCCAGTCCTCCACCATGCTCACGACTAGTCTGATGTCTGAACCCATGTGACAGCCATGGTGTCACTCCGTCTCCGGGAGGGCCTTCCTCTTTGTCCCTGCCTCTCCACTGCAGAAGCACGATGTCCCTCTCCAGAAACTGGCCTCTCCTGATAACTGCCCAAAGTTGTGAGATGAGGTACGACCGCTTTGCCCCTAAGGAGCCTCTTGGTTGTACTTCTTCCGAGACAGATCTGTTTGTTGGGTGCAGACGATGGTGTTTTCAATATTCACCAACACCGATGTGCAAATGCACGGATTCTTTGTCAGTCTTCCTTCTTCAATGTCCAACTCTCACACGCATATGAGGCCATGGAAAACACCAGGACGTGGTCAGGAGCACCTTGGTCCTCAAAGGAACACCCTTGCTTGAACATAGCAAGATTGACCTAGTCCCGCAGATTGACCGAATGCAACACGTCATTGATCTTATGCCTGCTGCTTCCATGAGCATGGAGTGGAGATCCAAGCAGGATGAAATCCTTGACTACTTCAATCTTTTCTCTGTTTATCATATTTCCCATCTGTCAGATTTTCAAATCATAAGTCTGTCATATTAATTACAAATCCTTTAGAAGCCAAAAGGTATAATTTTTCTTTCTTCTGGGCACTGCAAGTAAGCTTATTTTTATTTTGTATTTATAGACCACCAGGACAAAGTCTCCAAGCTTTCTAGGTTTTTTCTTTGTTTGTTTTGTACATTTATAAAGTATTGTTTAAAACCTTTCTCCTCAAGTGGCTTAAAATTTTGGAGAATTCAAAAAGAACTTCTTAAGGAAGAGGTTCTTGATAGAGATGTTAAAAAATAATTTTTAAAAATATGCACTTACTTTAGGAAAGTACAGAGTCTCTGAGACCCCATCATTTTATTTTCAAAGTTTGTAGCTCAACAGAAAAACTATGTGCCAGGAAAACTTGCGTGTGGAAATGATGAATATGCTCCACGTTGATTGCAAGGCTTATTGTGGTTTGAGCTTCCTCAGAGGTTCCTCGTAGGACCAGCCCAGAGATCTACCTCTGACAATCACCCATTGAAGGGCCCACACGGTAGAGGTCTACTCTGACATAGCTACACAACTTGACAGCAGCTGTGGTGTTGTTTTCCTGTGTGTGTTATGAACTGTGCGAGCACCCAGGATCCTGGAAGACATGGGGTTCCTGTCTTCAAGGAGGAGCGTTCTAGTGGACAAGGGTAATGGCCCGGGAAGCAAACAAAGCACATCCTTTCTGGTAGTGAGAAGTGCTACGTGAAATGCTTTGGGGTAGTCAGAGACGGACTTTGTGTGGGTGCCAGGGTGATGGAGTTGGTTACTCATTGGGCTGCTAACCTCAAGGTCAGCAGTTCAAACCCACCAGAGGCCCCTTGGGAGATAGAGAAGTCTTTCTTATCCTGTAGAGGTTTACGAGCTCTGAAACCCTAAGGAGCAGTGCTACTCTGGTCCCCGGGGATCAGACTCTGCCGGATGGCAGTGGTGAGTGCTTTTCTTGCTACCTGGTTGGGACGGCCTCTGCCAGTAGGTGATGGCTGAGCTGAGCCCTTAATAGAAGCAGCAGCTTCTCTGGAGATGGGAGGAGGGGCTTTGGGGGCAGAGGGAAAGGCGAGTGTACAGGCCCTGAGGCTGAGGGGAACGGGCAGCTGAGAGACAGACTGGGGGTTGCAGGAATGATGGGATGGACGCGGGACTGGGCGGGGCAGCCAGGTGTTGAGTGGTCATGTCAGTCAAAGCAAGCAGTTAAACTAAAATGCAGTGGGGAGGTACTGGAAGGTTGGAAGCAGTGGACAGTACCCTCTAACTTACAGACCCAGAAAAGCTCTCTCAGTGCTGTGTGAGCAAGAGCCAGAAGGAGGAGAAAGGGAATCCGGAGGTGGGAGAGGAGTCCTGGCGTTGGTGGGGTAGGGAGGGGGACAAGCTGGGTTTGCATCCAGAAGGAGCCAAGACATGAGGGTTGTTAGCAAGACAAAGCACCCCCAGCATAATTTAAAAGATGTTTATTATCAAGACAGAAAAAAAAGCCTGGTCCCTCTTTCCCTGTGGAGGTAAAATAACACCCTCCCCTTGGGTCACGGGGAGAAGACGAGCCAGTCAGGGTATAGTACAGCCCCAAGGAAACATACAGCTTTCCTCTGGTCCTTTAACCCGCCCCCCTTACTATTATGACCCTAATTCTACCATACAAATCTGGCTAGACCAGAGCATGTACACGGGTGCAGGTAACAGCTGGAAACAGGAAAGATAAATCCCTTGGGACCAATATTGAGAGTAGCCTTACCAGGAGGGGAAGGGGAAGGTGGGAGGAGAAAGGAGAAACCAATCACAATGATCTACATATAACCCCTCCCAGGGGGGCAGACGATAGAAAGTGGGTGAAGGGAGACATCGCACAGTGCAAGACATGGCAAAATAATAATTTATACATTATCAAGGGTTCATGAGGGAGGGAGGGGAAAGGAGGGGAAAAATAAGGAATTCATACTAAGGGCTCAAGTAGTAAGAAAATGTTTTCAAAATGATGATGGCAACAAATGCACAAATGTGCTTGACACAATAGATGGATGTGTGGATTGTGATAAGAGTTGTATGAGCCCCCAATAAAATGATTTATAAAAATAAAATAAAATAAAAGTAAGCACTTTGTAACGTTGACTAAAAAGAAAAAACAAAACAAGACACAAAACACTCTTGTTTCCAAAAATATGCCTGAGCTCTCCCAGTCTTTTTAAAAGCGTGATGTTTCTCCCTGAGCATTTTATTTCTATGAAAGAGCAGCCGATCTAGGAAGCTGAGCTAAGGGATGGCCCTGTCCACACATAGTGTGACCACAGACCCTGTGTCATTTAACCAGCATAAGGCGACTGACTGGCCCTTCCCTGAAGACAGTTGACGTCCAGGTTAGGAGGAAGGGGACATTGCCCCCACAATGTCTCCTGGGTCCTTAGCACGGTGGCCTTTGTCCGGTGGCAGGATGGCTAATCCCATTGTTCATGTCGCTCCTGCAGGTATCAGAGAAGGGTGGCCTTGTACATCGCGGCCTTTTACGGATACGTGGAGCTCACCGAATGGGCCCTGAAGCAGGGCGCGCGGCCCAATGAGGCAGTGGGCGCCCATCCCTGCCGAGCATGGTGCCACAAAGCCCTGCACGCGGACGTCTCTAAATGCCCCATTCATGCAGCCGCAGAGACGGGCCAGCTCTGGGTTCTGAAGGCCTTTGTCCACTGCAGCGTGCTGTGCCTGGAATGCAGAGATGCCGCGGGCCAGAGCCCCCTGACCCTCGCGCTCAGACACCGGCACCAGGACTGCGTGCTGTATTTGCTGAACAAAATGTGGTCCACCGTCTCCTTCCCGGAAATTGCGGTCCCCATGAGGATTTACCTCCGAGTGAAGCAGTGGATGCTCAGGGCGCACCGCCTCCGCCTTCATAAAAGCCAGCTTCCCCGGGCCAGGATCTCTGGGGCCAGAGTAGGTGACCCTGTGGCCGTGGATGGTTTCGGCAAACCAAGCATGACCTCCCAAAGCTGGTATAAATACCAGCACCAGGGGCCCCGCGGCACCCGGTGCCAGCTCCCCCCTCTCCAGGGAGGGTGGGCAGGCGGGAGAGCTGGGGCGACGACTCGGGCAATTTCACTTCCGAACCCGAGGGAAGACACCCCCAGGTTTCCTCCACTGGCAGACGCCAGCAAGGCCTCTGGAGGTCAAAGGCATGCAGAGGAAAATCAGAAGAAAAACAGGGCGCGAGAAAAGTTGATCAAACGTGCCTATCTCCCCCAAGTGCCCCTGCCCCCCGTTTCCACAATGGCATCCGCATACCCTCCGTGTTGCTCCGCGACCCCCAGCGCTGTGTTGCTACTGGGCTCGTCCTCCGCGGCCTTCGCGCGGCACAGCGGGAAGACCCCACGGGAGAATGCCATCTACTGCCTGGCCGTGGCAAGGTCAGGGGGGCTCGCTTGGCGCGTGGGGACAGCAGGGTGGCCGTTCTGGGGTAGAATCCTTGCCTTCTTGGGGTGACACAGGGTGGAGGCCTGGCCAGCACGCCTGCAGGGCGGCCGCCACCATCTGTGGCTGGGGGTGCTGACCAGGATTGGACCCACCTAGGACAAACGCCTGGCGATCTACTGCCCCAGACACCAGCCAATGAGAACCCCGTGGCTCACAGTGGCTGGTTCCCATCTCGGTGCCGTTGGGGCTGAATCGATGGCAAGAAATAACGTTCGGCGGAGAAGCCGCAGGACAAGGCTACATTGTAGTTCCTTTCTCCGTTGGTCTTTAGCGCAACTCTGCTCCTTGGCTCATTGTTGCCACCTGGTGGCACGAAGACTTGAAAACACCAGGCGACAGCACACAGGGTTGACAAAGGTTGAGGAACAAAACTGCCAACTCAGCCTTTATCATTTATTAGCTAACTCTGGGTAGAATTATTTAAAGGACCACCATATCTATATAAATATGGAAAAAGATATCATCACGGATAGTATTGATAGAGAGACATTGTGGTGAACGGACTTACTGCGCCTAAATTGTTCACTCAAAAAAAGTTAAAATGGAGAATTGTTTGTGAGGTCTATCTTACCCCCCAAAAAATTACTTTTAAGGAGATCATCTAAAACTCTACAAAAAGACTAGGAAATAGTGGATTGAAAAATGTTATAAAGCTGGTCTTGAAAGCTGGCTGCAGACACACCCAAAAAGGAAACATTGTTGTTTTATCAACAGATGCATTTACGTATTGTGTTAGGCAGGATTCTGTAGAGAAACAAAACCAGGACACTTATGATTATATACATATATATGGATAGGCTTATACCGTGAGAAGGAATATAACAGCTAATTAGTCCACACAACTGCACAGAGGGCTTAGTTCAACTCACTTTTGTGGAACAGTTGATATGCTGGAAGTCCTTCAATTCATGTGGTCCAAGGCCAGGAAATAGGCAGCAGAGTCCTCCCTTGGGCAAGGCAGGCAAAGTCTGCAAACAGCAGGGTGGGTCAGCATGGGAGTTTAGCAAAACAGGCCCCATGGGGTCTTGAACTCAAGTAATGTCATGTGACAGGATCCACCAGCCTCAAGCTCAAGTGATGCGTGCACCAGCATCAGGCCTCAAAGGAGCCTCAAGTTTAGCGACAGGCTCCCCAGATTGGCTTGTCCCTCAGGTAGTGTAGCTCACAGGTTGAAGCAGAGAACGAGCTAAAGCAGTAGCATGCTGGTTCGGTCACCAGGTAACAAGAGGGAGATAGGATGCTGGTGATCTTTATTTATTTTGGTCATCCTCTAATCAAGCGGTGACCTGATTAAGCTCTGCCACATGTTCATATTGGCCTCGTTGGCACACTAAATCTATCACACATGTTGAATAAGTACCTGTCCTGGCCAAGGTGCAGACCGAGGCAGGGTGCAGAAGGGCAAGACGATCTGTGTTGGCAGAGGTGTGTGTGTGTGTGGGGGGGGGGGGGGGTTAAGAAGAGAAAGGCTCCTAGTGTCTCTTCCATGGAGACATGGAATGAAAACTCAATGAAATGCTTTCACAAACTTATTGAAATCTGTCCACGCTCCCCCAACCCATATTATATAAAGTGAATTTTTCAAAACAGAGTTATAAAATGTATGCCAAAAGTTACAAAATGTAGACCACATGTATGACTCGGTAAATTTTACATTTGCAAACACTCATTTAACAATCACCAGGATTAGATATGAAACATGTCCAGGACCCAGGAAACATTTTTTGTGCTCCTTGGTAGCAATTATTGATATCTAGAGACATGACTACTACTTGGTCCTCTATCACTGTAGTCTACTTTTGCTCATTCTTGAACTTCATATAAAAGGTATGGTCTATAATATGTAGCACATGCCTCTTAGGCCTGGCCTTTTTGTTCAACATATTAGCATGTATACACAAGTATAAGCTGAGTTTCTCAGCATATTTTTAATTAGCTTTTGTGGTAAAATTAGGTGCCTCGGTGGATATTCGGGTCGGCTTATACTAGAGTACATAGTAGCTTGTCTGTTCAAATCATCCCTGGATTTGTGTGTGTCAGTCATTCTCATTTCTACATGGTTTTCCATTGCATCAATAGAACAAAAGCCAAAAAAAACCCCCAAATCCATTGCCATTGAGTTGATGGTGACTCATCATGACCCTATAGCACAGGGAGAACTGCCCATTTGGATTTCCAAGACTTTAAATCTTTGAAGAGTAGACAGCCTCATTTTTCTTCCATGGAGCGAGTGGTGCATTTGAACCACTGACCTTGAAGTTAGCAGTCTAGTACATAGTCATGATGCCGCCAGGGCTCATGCGGTTTCATATTTTATTTGTTTATGATGGTTATACTAGGTGTGTTTAGTTTGGATTCTATTCTGAATTGAAGTTTAGAATGGTGGTTGCCTTCCTCTCTTGACTGCCTGGGAATAGAATTGCTGGGTCACCAGTTAAGTTTATGTTTAACATTAGTAAATAATTCCAAGCAGTTTTCCCAAAGAGACGGTACTGGCGTGCAAGTACATTTCGCAGTGGCTGGAAGTATCCAAGAGAGGCAGAGTGAAGATGAGCGGCCAGTTGCTGACAGACACGTTTGTGTGGAAGGCGGATTTGCGAAGGAGCAGTGGTAGATCCGGCTCTCTTCTGGCAGTTACTCCTAGAAAAATCTTCTTTCTAACCCTGTCTTCTTCAGATCGTTGCCTCTTCCCGCTCAGTCAGCCTTGCGTGTTCACCCCTTTCACGGCGACAATCCCTTGACCGCGCTCACCTTCCTTTGCTGGTAGGCTGTGGAGAGGACGGGGGTGGGGGTGGGGGGGGCAGTGTTAGTCTTTACGCCCTTCCAAAGCTCTTCTTGGTCTGATATGTGCCCCTCACCCAAATCATGAAAGGCAATCGGATGGCCTAATTGTTAGGTTTCTTGGGTGGGCCGTACCTCAGTTCTTGGCTTCGCACGAGGAAGAATTCATGCCAAAGCCTGGTTTGTGATCCAAGTAGGTTTTTATAAAGGATGGGAGACGTCTCAAAGGGGTACATACTCTTTCAGGGCAGCATGCCAAACCACACATGGGCTGCACTGGGGCTCAGAGCTAAACCTGGGCAACCTCGTGGGACTGCGCCCCCATACGTGGTGACCTGAGGCCAGAGAGACCACAGCCCAGCCCAGGGGGTGCAGGAGCGGGGTCAAGGGGAGAGGGGCAGAAGAAGGGGCAGCCATGCCCCCCCCTCCCTTGCTGGGGAGGCCTGGTTGAAGGTATTGGTTGACCCCATTGACTAAATCAAACCCACCTGGCTTGGGTGGGGGTGGGGGTGGGGGTCTGAATTGGAGCGGCCCAGTTAAAGGGTCCTCATAGGTGTTTTATGCTCACCTGATTCCTTCCCAACCTCCTGTAGGGGGCCTTTTGCAGGCCTGGGTGGGACAACCCCTGTCCCTATCTGACTACCTGACATAATCACTCACCACTAAAAGTCTAGTCCACCTCTCGGGTCAAAAAGACACAAATAGGAGAAGTCAACACAGCTATCTTTAGGTCAGCATCCACGAATGCAAGCTAGTATCAGAGCCAGGAGATGGAGAACTGTAAGGCAGTCCATGCTTCATGAGACGCCCCAGAGGAAGTAGACCGGGGGCAGGGGGTGAGGTGTAATTCATCAGATAGCCCTTACTGTATAGCGGGGGAGCCTGTCTCCCAGACAACTTACCGTGCCCTGCGTCACATGAAGGTGCTGGCCCAAGCACATCCATTCAGGAACTCCACCTTTAGATTCAGATAAATGTCGCTCTTCGAGTTAATTCGGAGGTGGGGTAGGCTTAGTTCACTGGCACCAAGTGCTAGGGGCTGAGTTAGGGTTAGTGAGCGCATGGGGCTGGGGTAGAGGTGACACAGGCTGATGCCAGAGGTCACGTAGCTTCTCAGTCTGTCACCTCTGGAAAATAGTGTGGGCTTTATACAGATCACAAAGTCTCTCCAAGGTGTGATTAGAAAATCGTCTTCCTTCCCAGGTGTTATCTGATTCCCTGGAAGTCTAATTTAGTAAGGATTCCAGTGTGGGGGTTTAACTCGGAAAGTTCAGAGTCCCTCCCAAAATGATGGAAAAATGGGAGTCCCAGCTGGGGACTGGGACGGCCCTGCTGTTTCGGTAAACGCAGAGCTGTGGTTTCCTCACTTTGTAGAAAGGACCAGGCGTGAGTGGGGCCGGGGACCCGTGCCACCATTCAGGCAGCTGCAATTGCTGAAGTTGTTCGCCTTGATTTGGAAAGTGAGCTCCAGGAAGACGCCTGAGCTTGGCCTGCTCGTGACCACCGAGCCCCTCTCTCCACGGGGTAGTGACTCCTGAACACCTCTCACAGGTGGCCTCTGTGCTGAGGATGCTGGGAGTCAGGGCAGCGTGCGCAGGAGGAAATCTCATGGGAGTGGTGGAGCCGTAGTTGGCGTGGCCAACAGGCAGTGTTGGTGTGGGTGCAGAGGGGAAATATGAACAAGGAAATACTGCCTGCTTAGAACCTTTTTAAAATGATAAAATACAGTCATATGTGTTTCCCATGAAACCTTCGAACAGCATCGAAATCTGAGAGGATTTCAAAGGACACCCGCCCGCCCCCAGGACTTTTTGAAGGCTCCTCCTATATAAACACAGATGTGAACGTCTCGCCCAACTCTGGATGTCTTTTTCAACTTCCTCTCACCCACCGTTCTCCTCCCCACAAGCAGCATTCTTGCTAGAACGTATCTATGTGAGACAAGTGCACGTGTCTGTCCCTTGTCATAGGAAGGGTCTTGCTGTGCTTACTGTTTGTCAATAAACAGCGACTGTGGTTGTTGGGAGAAGTCGAGTCCCTTGGGACGCAGCGACCCTGTGTGCAGTGGAAGAAACTCCTGCCAGTCCGGCACCCTTCTTCCCATTGTCATGTGCAAGCTTGTTTGCGCAGCCAGTCTCTGTACCTGCCTCATGGAGGGCCTTCCTTCTTTCAGTGACCCCCACATCACCAAGGATGACACCCTGTGCCAGGGACTGGTCTCCTTTTTCAGCCCAGAGGTCCAGACACAGAGTCATCTCAAACCTATCTTTAAACTATCTCCCATCAGAGGACACAGCCACCTCGATTTTAAAGACGTGGCTGCCTCCTCTTCTGTGTCTGCATATAGGAACAGACTGAAGCAGCACCCTTCTGCTTTATTCTGAGTTGTTTCGGGGTTTTCATCATGGCAGTAGTGCAACGAATCCTTTACGTGTGAGACTTACCTTTGGGAAATTTTCCATGGGATATTCTAATGGGGGTGAAAGTGCTTGTTGAAAGAACGTATGTATTAAGAAAATTTATAGGTGGTGCTAAAGTTACCGTCCAAAAAGGCTGCACAAATTACACCGGTTGTCCTATATAGTGCTGCCGTGGAAACAATAACAAAAACACTGTAGGGGTGGCTTTCAAGGACAGGAAGCTACTCCCTCACAGTTTCAAGATCAGGGTGTTAAAAAGCCAGACTTCTTTCCCTGTCGGGAAGACCTTGTCTCTTTCTATTTCTGCGGCTCTGGGGATTTCTGGGTGTTCCTTGGTTGCTTATAGATGTACTTATCTGGCATCTTATCTTCTCCCTGTGTTTGTGTCTCTCTGTTTGCTCTGTGAAATGACACTACTCAGAAGAGATTAGGTTTAGGACCCACGCTACCCTGTGTTCTCATTAACATAACAAAAGAAACCTCAAAGTCATGCTTGCATAGACAGAGATTAGAGCTTTAATATCTTTTTTTTGGAGGAGGTTGCTGGGGGAAAAAGTCAATCTATAACTCTGGGTCATGGATAGAGAATGAGAAGCTATTTTTTATTTCATGACTAATCTACAGACAGGAGGACACAGGGCCCAGGGAAAATTATAAATATATTTCCAACCAAGGCTTATATACACTCTAAGGGCATGCAAGCCCCCCTAATTACAGGTAAGTGCATAGGTAACAAAGTGACCTGTCCCTAACCCTAAAAGTCCTGAGTACATTGGAGGAGTAACCTAACACCAAATTTCTGGGGGCAGGAAAGGGGGGTGGCTGTCTTCGGAGTCTAGAGAGCAATAGCACAAGTCTGCCTCTGTAGTTATAGCTGCCAGCTATATAGCAATCAGCCATGCACTTGTAAGAAATTATTTTAAGGCAGTACTATTATGGGAGGAAATAGAGGGGAACAATATTAATTATGAGAAGGTGATTGGGACTCACCTCCAGCTCACAAGGGTGAAGGCCTCCCTCCACCCCAGAAACCCAGCCTGCCAGGCTTCTTAACACATGAATAAAGGCTTCATCCATATGCACTCCCTTCCTGTTCTCTGCTCCCCACACAGACCCACTACGTTAGAGCTGGTATCCTGAGAGAGAGCAAGCTGAGTGAGAAGGTGAAATTGGAGGTGTCAGTGGGATGTCGGATTACCAAATCGTTTCAGGTGGCAAATGGAGAGAGGGCATTTTGGAGAAAGGGCACAAGGGAAGAATCATAGACACAATGCGTCAAGGAGGTCTCGGGATCAGAGCGCTGAAAAGGGGCGGAGCAAAGGACAGAACCCTGGAGCACGCCGGCTTCTAAGGGGATACACACGTCCTGTCTCCTAAACGAATTCGCTTCTTAGAAAGCAGAAGTAGTCAAACGTCCATGGCTTTATAAGTATGTAACCAGAGAACGCCTATCAAACGTGAAGTCCCACTGCCCGATGAATGGCCAACGCCTAGTTGTGCTGGTGGTGGTGGACGGGGCAGGAGAAGGAAGCAGTCAGGGACCATGTAATGTACACAGGAGCCCACAGGAGGGCAGCTGGAAAGGCTTCAGAAGGCCTCCCCCAGGAGAAATCAGCGCGGTGTTCGTGGCTCTCTGTGTCGCGTGATGCGTGATGGGCTCTATGCCATCCGTACCGCCATGGGAGAGTGTTAGTCCCCTGGCGTCCCGAGGAGCTGGTTTTAGAAAGCTGCCCACTTCTTAGTTTCCCACCATAGCTCACGTAAGAAAATAAAGCCGTCAACCTGAAGGTTACCGTCGTGTCAGCTATGAGAGGGGAAAAGCATTCGAGGCCCCTTCCTGATCACGTCTTGTCTCCTTGCAGCGCCTTTAAGGAGAAGCCCTGGCTTCAGCAGTTGGGAATAGCAAGAGTCCTGGCCAAGAAGAGCGTCGCTAACCTGACTACTCCAGCAGCCCCGACCGCGCGTGCGCACCCTCTGCACAGTGTGCTTTGAGAAGCCGGGACAACGCACCCTCTGCACAGTGTGCTTTGAGAAGCCGGGACAACGCACCCTCTGCACAGTGTGCTTTGAGAAGCCGTGACAAGGGTCTGGCCAAGCGCGAGAGCAATCCACCAGCTCTAAGAAGATTCCGGTGCGGCACGACCCATGACCAGGCTGCTTCCTTTCTGACACCATGTGCTCTGGGATCCCATCCACCTCTTACAGTAAAAAAAGTGGTCAATTGTTTTGCTTAAAAAGTACGAGGAAGCTTACATAAGATTCGGAGAATAAACTTTGATCCACATGGCTCCATTTCTCAGTTAAGTCACCATTTTCAAGTGTAAATTGTAATGATCACAAATAAGATGTTTATTATGGAAAATCTAAACTTCAATCAATGTATTAATCAAGATGTCATATTTGCTGTACTCAGCACCGTCAGAATGCGGATAGGCAATAACTGTGTAGCTTAGTGCCCATTGAGGGTAGAGTTGAGGACTGGTATTTTCTTCTTTTTTTTTTTATGCAGTGAGAGAGTGAGAGAGTGAGTGAGTGAGTCAGTGAGAGAGTGAGGCAGTGAGA